TTCCCTCAAATTAAGATCAAACCCTGTGAAACCAGATTTTTCGGCTGTTTTGAACCAAAATATAAATCTTTATATGACAATAAACAAAGCGTCACACCTACATTTGGCTTTAGAATATCACAATTCCTTGAAAGTACCTAAATTGATCTTTTAATTATTCTGAAAACGAGCGTCTCCAAAACAACCCCATGGCTACTTAAGCAACCAAGTGTGCTGTTCACGTTACATGATGAAAAAAAAAATCGGAGACAAACCCTTCCATCTTCATCAACTCTTACCATGATCTCCTCGCCCAATTTGAAAATTATATAAGAATATAAACTGATTTATCAAACGATGAGGAAAAGGCTGCTACAGCCTTCATTAGTGGAAAACACACAAGAAAGGTTCGCTTGCCAAATGGTACATCAATTTTTTCAGCCGAAATCAGAGCAATAGATCTTGCTTTGCAACACATTGCAAGCAAGTGTATTTTAAACAGTATCATCTCCGATTCACTATCAGTAATTCAGTCACAACAGAATAGAAAACTGGAAAATCCATTATTAGCTAATATTCTTCTTAAACATACTGAGTTGAGTACCTCACCCAATAAAGTATATTGTTGGTTAACCAGCCATGTTGGAATTAAATGCAATGATAAAGCAGACCGCGCTGCTAAAATAGCCATATCATTAGCACCATCTGATTAGAAAACACTATATACAGATTTTAAACTTAGTATCAAAGACTGTTTGATTGATACACTTTTACCACATGTAGATAATGAAAGATATGTTTTGTATGGCGCTAAATATCCTCATTGTGCTGGTGCACCGTAAAAAATGAAATAATCAACCAATCAATTTGAACCAGCGATACGAATTCTTTTACCACTTTTAAAGGATAAATGCTATAACATTTTGTGTGGCACTAAATAGCTTCATAGTGCTAGTGCGCAGTAAAAATTCAACCAACCACCCAACACTATGGTTAACTTGGAAATTATTAATCAATATCCTCTTCAACAACACTGAGATTTGTCCGAGTTTCCTCTGAGCCTTGCTACTCCATTTTTATATTTGGACATTTATGTGTTGGTGTAGGGCCAGGCAAGTATATCTTGATGAAAGATCCTTAAGGTTAGTTAGACCGGCTAGTTAACGGCTACCCGATGCCGACACCAAATGGTGCATGCGAGTTCCAACTATTCAATAGGGAACGAACTCGGACCTTACACTACAACATGAATATCCAAATTTAAAAAAATGGGGCGGCAAGGGTCAGAGGTAACTACGACTAAACTGAGCTGAGTACCTCCCGCAATATAGCTTTACGTTGGTTACCCAGCCATAAAAGAAATACAAAAGCAGATGCGCTGTAAAAATAGCCTTATCCCTAGAGCCATGATTTTAAAAAGCCTTATAATGATTTTAAACCTATAATCAAAGAGTCTTTACGTCATAAGTGGCAGGCATCACGATCAAATGATGCCGTGAATAGCAAATTTGATGTCATCAGTCAAACCCTAGGAGAATGGAATCCTTCCTACAGAACCAACTATAGGGAGGAGGTAGTCATTGCAAGAATTTGAATTAGTTACATGCTAAAAGGCGAAAACCAGAGTGCGTTTCTTGCAATGAACCGGTCACTCTTAAGCACTTTCTGATTATGTTACGACAGTTTGATACAATAAACTTCCATTGTATTTTAAAATTCCTGAAATAAGTAAACATTTATAATAAGCTGTAACTTTTATGCTATCAGCTAGAGCATATTTATGTAATGTGGATACCGTCATTTGTATTATGTACCTTTTCATCTTCGTTAACATTCACTATTTACGTACCCTGTTGAACGGGAAGCTTTATATATTACCCTTGCCATGTTATTGTTTTAGTTTTAACTTGGATTTCTTTTATCGCTTGTCGATAGGAACCATTTTTTATTACTTTAAAATTATTCTACATATAACCTTTTTCTCTCATCCATGCGTTAGAGGGATCTAGCCGTTCTGCTAACCTTTTCTTATCTCATTCTGGTTGTCTCAAACAGGCCGTCTCAGTCAAATTGTCCACGCGCTTGGAATTACTTAAAAAATTGTTGTCTTCTGCTATGCCTGACATAATTGTTCTAAAATTAAACATCAACAAATATATAACAAAAACTATAGTAACCTAACGTCTCTCCATTTTTGAGAACATGCCATACAAAACATTTCGAGAGAGTGAGACACACACACACACACACATATATGATGTCAATCTTTATAGCATTATTTAGTTCGTTGTACACAGCAAGGTCAATTTTGTCTTAGCTATAGGCCTAACTCAGTACATGTTGAGGTCGGCATCATTAAATGTAGCAAAAGCTACATAACTCTTTTTAAATACTTCGTGTGAAAGAAGTTATATAATTTTAGTTACATTTAATGGCACTGACCTGAAAATTGACTGTGCTACAGATAAGATAAAATTCTCACTACTGTGTGAAATGGGATATAACTGAAAACACTGATCTATGCACATAGACTATAGGCCTATATACTTCATAGCCTCTCAACTCGCTTATCAACTACAGATAGTTTAGCAACAGCCAGAAACGTGTTGTCAAACATGCTTATTCTAATTTTATTAATGACCTCCATTGTACCCCAGTTGAATCAAACACACCGACAATATTTAATGACAAGTAATGCACTTACAAGCCAGAATGAATCATATATCCGTCAACACATTAATCCATAAACAAAAAGCACTCTAGCACTTGCCATCGAAGCCAGAAAAAGAAATTTTTAAAGAATCCGTGAACTTGAAAGTTTAGCACATGGTTATCAGCTATGGTCTGTATTTGGAGGGTCTTTCATACAGGGTTGCAATTTTACAATCAATATTAATTACAACAGAAGTATGTCGCAGTTTCATCTCCTCCAAAGAAAAGAAGAGTTATATACGATAGTCACAAGGATATCTAATTACCCTTGAATACCCCAAGCACGGATACTCGTGCTACATGTGACTTTAGTAGCCTATACTATAATAGCCAAATGATATTGGGCCCACAGAGCTTTGGGCTCAATATCGTTTTATTATGTATAATATAATTTTCTAAATTGAAACTGATGAAATAAGAAATATTTTCTTGTAATAAATGTTAACTATTTATTGTTAATTTCATATAACATCCATATAATAAATGTGATAGTATCTCAATACTATGCAACGTTTTGTTGGTTTTTTTTTTTTGCTTACGCGTAAAAACTGTAATTCTGATGATCCGGACACGCCAGTTCCCATTAACATATTTTTATTATTGCACCGCACATAAACATTTGCGCGTGAACTATATTGCACAGGTGAGTTCTTTCTTACTTTACAAATAAAGTAACCCCTTGACCGAGATTTCATTGTCTCGGTTCAAACCCCAACACAGATTCTATATGTATGGCACTAAATTCTTAACATTGCTGATGCGTCGTAAAAATATAATGAATCAATCGTTCATACTAAGTACATTTTCGTGTAAATATTCATTGACACGCGCTATTTACGTTGATCGGGAAAATTTTAATATGACCCTCTCCATCTCATTATTTTGATTTTAATTGATTTTAGTGTCACTGGTCTATAATACACTTTTCATCAACTGGAAATTATATTAAGTATAACTGTTTCTGTGGCGATATGTAGGCGAACGGTGCTGGTGGGTGGTAAACAAAGAATCCAGTTAATCAATCAATTAACCAATCAATAAATCAATCATGATCATATATTGCCTTTACCTATTTATTGATTTTGCCTTGACCTGTTCGATTCTATTATGACTGGTAGATAATAAAATGTAAATTATATTTAGCAGAACTGTTTATATAGATCTATATAGCCGAAAAGTGCTGGTGCGCCGTAAAAATACATTAATCAGTCAGTCAAACAATCCATCAATTTCATTCACCATGTAATGGTTTTGCTTTTAGATGATTTTATTATTGCTTCTTGAAAATAAACCTTTTATCAGCTGTAAATCTTATGTTTAATCTTCCTTATGGCGCCAAATAGCCTTTTTGTGCTTATGCACCGTAACACTACACTCAATCAATCATATACCGTTACATTATCTAATATTTGTAGGTTTCTTTATTTACCGACTTGTAGTTATTTATTGTATTTATGGGTGTGGATTGGAATTATAGGTTTGACTGGCACCATGCAGCCAGTACTCTGTTTACTTACTGTTACATAATACTTAAGACAAGGTCCTCCAATGTTGTGCGTGACCCACTTCCTATTCCAGCCAATCCTAAGGGCGATTACACATTGTCTCTTTGACAAACATTCCAACTTGCAACAGGAAATATTTTAGACAAAAAGGTCAAAACGCATTTCCATGAAGAATATTTAACTGCTTTTATATATTCTGTCATGTTATTCTAAATCTTGAAATAGTAAATAATCTGAAGCGTCACCAACGTAATTAAAGAAGTTAGAAACATTCAGAAAGCAAAAACAAGGTAGCCTTACCTCATAAAAATTGTACAAAGAAGTGAACAAGATTATAAAGAAAACGAGTCTGATGTCATTAGAATTACTTTACTCACTACAATTTAAATGTCATTTCGACTGCCAAATGCTATTATGTTCACACTGTACATGTAAGGCACATTCAGATATATCAATGATAACCTGCCTGAATTCAGATGATTTATAAAGTCTAAATAAAAAAAAATGAAAATCCACTTTTCATTACTGTCTTAACATCAGTATAATCTTTGTGGTTGACTTATTGGTCCTATTGGTCCTAGATTTTGATTGGTTGTCGATTACATGTGACTGAATTAAATGAACATTTCTAGGTTTTGACTGGTTATGCAGGGATCATTCGGCCAGCTAAATTGAGTGATTGTGTACTGTTCTTTTTAAGAATCATTCCAAATATGATAAGAGTAACATAACAGGAAAATAACAGCATCATTCTAATACATATCTTTGTCCATCTTTATCACATCAATTTTAGCAACTGGAAACAGCTCTGGTGGCCTACTGGTTAGAGCATCCGCCTCAGATGCGGGAGATCGCGAGTTCGATCACCGGTCGAGTCATACCAAACACTTTAAAAATTGTACTAACATCTGCCTCGCATGGTGTTCAGCATTAAGAAGTTAGTGTTAGGACTGGTGGCCTGGTGTTAAGATAATATGACTGGGTGGGACATTGTTCTACATGTCTGCGGCATAATGCCCCAGTGCTAGGCATCTATATAAACTGTCACACTGCAGACATCGCAGCGATATGACTGAAAAAATATTAAAGCTACGTTAAAAATCTAAATCACATTCACACACACCAACTAGAATTTCGTTTTCAGCAAAGACAAACATCTTGAGTAAGCAACCCCGCCAATATTTGTTTAATCAGCCGTATCGAACTTATGTCTGATTCCTGCTGAATACTTTTCACCTCTTTCATAAATGTCACGGGCTCATCCAACGATCATCTTGTTTACAGATAATGAAACAATGCTATCATTGATAAGAAGTAATTCTTATATATATATATATATATATATATATATATATATATATATATATATATATATATATATATATATATAGGCAAGGCATTGGGTGCCATTTACTCGTGGACCTGGGTTCGAAACTCGGTAGAGTACGAATTTAATTTAATTTCTCTAACCTGTATGATAGTATTGTTTGTATTAAACTATATATATATATATATATATATATATATATATATATATATATATATATATATATATATATATATATATATAATGTACGCTGTATCAGTGATATACCACGAGATGTATACATTTTTCATTAACAGGAAACGAAACTGACTTAGTTAGCGCGGCTGTTCACGTCCAGATAGAAATATTAACACGATTAATTGAGATTAAAAAGACCACTACGTGCTGACATTGATAGGTCTCGGGTAGCTAATTTCACCATCTTTTTAGGATTGATTTTCTAAAATGAAAGTCTTGCCCATCTCCAAATTGAACATCTATATACTGACTTTATATAGTATGTTGGAGAGCGTAATTCCTTGTATAAAACAAATTGCACGGATGAGCTGATTGTCCCGATTGCATATAAGGCATATATCTGGCTGAACCTCAACCGGAATATCGATTATGACCATGTGAGACAGGAATATTTGGACGTGATTTGGTTTAAAAGACCTATACCACTCCGTACTATGGAAGACAATCTTGGACTGTATAAAAGAATGCAGTTTATGCAAACAAATTCTAATGACGGTTTGAGGATGCTACTTTTGTTACCTTTTCCTGTTATTTTACACATATTAAATATAAATTTAATATATGTACATCGTATACCCTGGTATGATGACGCTATTCGCATTTAAATGCTCATTATATAGAACAATTGAGGTACAGAGTTGCAAATCCAATATATGCTTAAAATGCCATCTTTAAATTGTAGACTTGAATAATTAACTAGGTTAATTTATCCATCCATAATTTAATTAATCCATCCGTAAGCAAAGAACCCAGCTTGATTCCAGAATGTGCACTGATCGGGATGAAAGGTATTTGTAATATTAGTATTTTGTGATAAAATTGCTGTTACATTTGCATTCCATATTGGAGAAGCGGGGTGCCCTTTATGAACAAAGGATATTACTTCTTTCCTAACATTATTCTGCCACTCTATATCTGATTCCTTCATTGGGTTTATATACTGATCAATTGTTCCAAAAAAGGCAAATATGTCCCACATATGAAACGAATAAGATGCTGCAAACGGCAGGCCGATTGCATGCACGGGTTGAGAAGGCCATGATGTCACAACATATCTATAGACTGGTTCCCTGAAATATTTACGGGCCACTGATGTCATAACGTCATTTGGACAATTAACCCTGAGGTCGCTGACCATACTTGTAAACTGGTATTCGGGTGTAATAAAGCCAGTTGGATACAAAGAAAGGGCAGACGTGACGTCATGATCCCCAAATGTCGACAGCTTTGAACTGACATATTCCTTGTACTTGTTCCAGTCCCACTCCTTTAGATCCAGCGGACCAGGATCGTAGTCGTTTTCATTGGCCAACGTTCCTGTAGCAACAAGGAATATATGATCAAACGTACAGAATAAATGAATATCAAATACTAGTAAGATATTAAGCTTACGGAAGAAGCTCCTCCAATTTTTTTGTGATTGAACTATGAGCGTAAGTAAGGGATTATAATGGCATTTTTATGGCCGTAATTTTTTACTCTATTTTTACTCTATTTTTACTCTGTATAGTGATTTGTATTTGAATAAAATTATTTTGTTTCTTTTACATCTTAAGAATCTAATGATATTAAAAAGGAATAAAGTATGTAAAATAAAACCAGTTTCTATTACGCTTTGATACAGCGAAACATTTGCAGACATTTCGAAACTATTATTATTATTATTATTATTATTATTATTATTATTATTATTATTATTATTATTATTATTATTACTTAATATATTGTTAACAGTGGGTCGGGGAACCATCCGCGAGATAATTACTGATGAATCTATTGTTGTTTTATAAAAACAGTACTAATAGCCATAATAAAACACATTTAATTCACACGGCTGATCTATTAAATGATCAGCTAAAAACACAAGTTCCAAAGTCAAATATGTTAAACTCTAAAAGTCGACAGTATATATTCAGTTACCTATTAAGCAAGGCACATCCACTTTTGTACCCACCTTCCATGCTTCGAATGGCGGTTGCTTCAAAACGACACCTGGAGTATAGAACAAGCATGTACCTCTATTATTAGTGGTAAATGAAAATGGCTGAAAAAATTCAAGATATATCACGATTCTTGAATACCGTGACATAATACTTTGACAGGAATCAGCAGACTTTTGGAACATTTCCTGATTAATATGTAAGCCACAGAATAGAGCACTCAACGAAATCTAAATGTAGTTTGTTGCTTAAGAAATGACTGTACAAGACAAAATTTTTCTATTTGTCTTTGAACACCTTTTTATGCTTTTGGACTTATTTCTTTTCATTGCCAGACTTCAAGGAAAAGATGCAACTGACTGAAAATTTGGCATGTTATAATTTGTATACTTTTGTAGTCGCCAATAACTAATATATATATATATATATATATATATATATATATATATATATATATATATATATATATATATATATATAGACTGTAAATGTAAATATTATATCGACTACGTTATCATACCAGTCTGCTTGATTTACTTCTGTTTAGACACATCACATATTTTTCCCCAAATCCACTCAATCAAGCAAAATTTTGACACCACATGGCTTAGTTCTTATAAATTTACATTGTAATGCAATTTTATTTTATTAAATTAGTAATCTTAATATGTGTCAGATACGACTTATATTTTTCTGTACAAAATTAGGACACGTCCACTCTCGGACACAGCTTATAATGATCTAGTACTGGTCCAGAGCCATGCAGTTGTTGACATTACTTGACCTCAAAGGGATTTAGTTTGGAGAAAATCAAATCAAATTTATGGTAATGACTTGCTTCAGAGACTATATATAGGTTGTACCATATGTAGGTAGTCTACTCTCACTATTTCATTAACAAGGTTTTTAAATTCTACTTGATGAGTTGCTTGTATGCGAATACTATTGTTCTTCACATAAAGCACACATTTTTAAGTTCAGTAAGTAATGCTATTATTAGAAACTTTTATTATTATTATGTTGTAAATTTACCTTTTTATACATAGATAGATGCATACATACATAGATACATGAAAGGATAGACAGATATTACATAATGAATAAACGTTCTGAATAAATGACATATGTGCTAGTATTCCAGTAGTAATGTCGGCATAGCTCGTTTCTCTTAGAGAATCTGTTTTTATCATAAGCCTGAAAAACTTTATAATTTCAATCAAACTTTCTTTGTCAAAAGCAATAGGACTTACCAAATTACAAATACTAACAAACACCAGATTTGGAAAGTGAACGGCTCACCATCAACAATAATTATGGCACCGTCGAAGTGCCCGTTCGTGGGTAGGTCACCTTGGTCGCTCATGGCCCAATACGGGTACACATCCCAGGGCACACCTCTTGTAACTTCTTCGGCCGTCAGCAAATACAGACAGTTTACATCGGAACATCCGGTGTTTTTCATAAAAATTTCGTTGTCTTTAAACGCTTCTGCAGCAGTTTTGTTGAGAACTGGTGACGCGCTTAGAAGCCAGGCTTTCTGGAAGAGTCCTTGACACAGAGGTGACGCTAGAAGAGCAAACATAATCGAACCGCCAGAACTCTGACCAAATAGTGTGACCTGTCAAAGAGCAATGATTATGTTGTAGAAATATGGACACTTAAAGTGTCATGAGCCCAATAGTTTGCTTTCTTTCTTTTTGGTACTTGTGGCATATATATATATATATATATATATATATATATATATATATATATATATATATATATATATATATATATATATATATATATATATATATAATCTCATGCTATATTTTATGGATGCTGTATAAATCATTTTGACTTTTTATGTGTATGTAAAAGATCATTAACTGCATTCCCATCAATCTTTATTCTTTTATTGGTTCGTGTTTGAGTATATTTCAAGGGTTTAATTTCCCATACTTTCATTGTGGATCGAGACAATTGACAAGTACAGTCGACTATCCTGTTAGGCTTGCAATATTTATTAAAGAAGCTTTTGTAAAGAATTAGCATAGAAATGCCATCATATTCCACTTTAAGATATCAAATGGCATCACACCGAAATGCGAATGAATGTCCCATTCATGTTAAACCTAACGGGTCGCCCACCTAACTGTAACTCCAACTTTCTGAAAGAAAACTTAAGAACCAAGGTGGCTGCACCCTTTCAGAAAGTTATATTTTGGAGATGGTTGTTCTCTTGGCACCATATTGTCAATCACTTGCTCAGCAGCAAAAGAAATAAACATGGATAAAAGCGTGACAACTCATTGAATGCTGACAACGTTTTGTTAGTAGAGTAACATTGTTCAAACCAATGAGATATTTGTGTTGGTTTTGGATGCACCGC